GAATGCTTTCTTTTTGCAGCAGTTCCACAATTAAAAGAGAAAGCTACAGGCAAATCCTTGCTAATTCACCTTCTCCTAAGAAAGCAGGAAAAGCCAATCCACATGGAATCTTAAAATTGTTGACAGTTCATTTAAGGCAAAAATAGAAGGGAAGTTTGAGGGGAAGAAACATATGTTGGAATATTATCAAGGATAATTTACAATAAGACAGAAATTAGAGGTAAATCATGACTTGCTAATTCACATTACGTGTGCAGTCCTTGAGATACAGAGTGGGATTCATCCCACCAAACTTTAGTTCTTYCCAATAAATCTGCCCATATCTAAACTGGCTCACTGACCTCACTGTGTACAGAAGTGGATGAAATAAGTATTGCTGGTGTAGCAATTCCAAAAATTTAAATTTAAATTAAATTAATCCCACTCTAAAAATACCAACTTTTTTGTTTACTGTTTCTAAAGTGAGCCTACAATCATGAGGTGGATTCTGCATGTATTTTCAGATTTAGTCAGAGCCATGCCAGCCTGTTTAGTTGGGATTCATTATTTCTTAAGATTGCTTGGAACTGGAGGTCCCACTCTTTGTCAGTGGTGGGAGCAGGGACTGCTTCAGCAAGAAACTCAAAACTTTCAGCTAGTGAGTGGCAGGTAAGAGTATGGGATTAGAGTACAACAATTATCCTCAAATGATTGTTTCATCCTACCTATTGTATATTAGCATCTGCAGTCTTTTCTGATCCATCARAGATTTGCAAAGAGAAAACCATCAYGGGAATTAGTTTCAGAAAAATATTGCTGCATAGAACCCTTTATGAATCAATGCTTATTCCCCTGCAAACATCTCATCATCAAGAGGTTTGATCTACATAGGATCAGACCTGAACTACACAGAGTTAAAGTCAAGGTGCAGAACATGAGTTTATCAAAGGAAAGGACCAGTCTTCTCTCTCTGGGAGCAAGAAAAGCYATGTGAAAGAMAAGCAGACTGCCTTCTATTCCACAYGGTTTTCACCACAGCTCCCTCCATAGTAGGTGTTTCTTCTCGGGCTCTTTAGCCAAGTGAAATTTGTGAATTGACAACCATGAGTTTGAGATTTGCAATCCGTTCCTCTATTTCTGAACAAGATGCTGTGGTGGAAAAGTTGAATTCCTGGGGAAGTAGCACGCTGGCCTGAGACACAGCACTAGGATTTTCCATGTCACTTTCCTTATCCCTGAACAGAGCTGCAGTCGGGCCAACCTGCACAGCTCTTCCCCACAGGAAAGGAAAGCTTTACAGGGTTGACAAAGGAGGATCACCTCTAATACAGAAATCTGACTCCTGAAACTGATTTAAGTACTTTGGTATTTCTACCCTGCTATAGAAGGACTTCTTCTCCTGAGACCAGGACAGGTCTCATGTTACCAAAACTGTGTTCTCATTCCATAGGGTATTGTGGAATTTCTTGGTTAAGGGAAAGGTATGTTTAACAGAAACATGCATTATATCCRAAAGTCACCACCTCATTACCCTTCAGGAGCCCAAGGAAACTCTGTTGAGCACAGGTGGATAAGGAGAGGAACTAATAAAGGAGTCCATGGGAATTAAATGCCCAGCTTCCCCTGCAGTTTTTCAAATCTCACTTTTAGTGATTACTGAGACCCACAACTGAGCAAAAGGATCTCATACTATGTGGGCATGCCTGTTCAATAAAAACTTGTCTAGTATGGAACTAAATGCTGAATATTTCCAACAAGATGTGGTCAAGATGCCTGYTGCACATGTAGACGAGGCGGCAGTGCTTTTATCAGGTTTTACCTTTTCAAATTCAGAGCTACAAGTGTGTCTTAAAATTAACATTTCATGCCAAAAAAACCCCCACAACTTTAAAATAGAAGGCTTCATCTAGAGAAATTACAGACAAAATTCAGGGGTAATAAGGCCAAGCCAATTAAATTAAATTAAACACCTTTTGAGGAWGGGTTTGTTATCTCTAGTCAGTCCAATACCCATGAAAATACTGCTTTGTCTWACTTTGCAGTATTTTATGTAGAACTCAAATCTGATTGTAAGGTGAGAATGAACATATCCACTCTCTGAAAAGCATCTGAAGCAGCAAAGTCTCTGATACAAGAGCAGCTCTTGAATTTTCCTGATGCACCAAGTGTTTCTCCTCATTTGGCATTTTATATTTCCAAATACTTCTGCACCAAAATAGACATACTGCTTTAAAATACTGCATGACTATTTAATCTGCTATTGATGCACAGCAATAGCAAAGAGCTAAACTTAAAAAGCCATAGAAATACAACAAGACAAACAGCAGTCATTAAACTATAACATCTATGATTAATACATAGGCTGTTAAATGATTAGTAATAAGATTAGCTTGCATCTCTCCTGCCCAATAGATACTTAAAGTAATTGCATCTTTGCAAACTGCATTATCATCACTTCATGTTCTTTATGATGTCATGGGACAGCAAGGCAGACTCAGCACTTTCTCTTGAACCTRCTTTGGTTTTTTTCCCTGTAAGAATCAATTCTCTGGCAACACTAGATAGTCTGATATGGACGCTGTGAGCACTGCTCACAAAACATTTGTCTGGCCATACTAAAAATCACAAAGCTTTTTGCATCACTGTTCAAAATTTCCCAAATTAAAGATGACAAAGAAATAAAACCTAAATGTGAATTATTGCTTGATGCCAACACTAATTTTAATTATACCCTGGGAAAATTAACATACTTGGAAAAATAACAGAAACCCTTCACTTAAGAAAATGGCATTTTGAAAAGGCAGGCCCTTCCTTCTCAGTCCTCTTCACACTGTGGCCAAAATGGYAGCAAATTTGCAATTTTTGTTATGTCTGTTGCAAACTTACTGCAGTCAATGGGGCTTTTTCCACAAAGTCCAAGCACTTTCACAAATAGCTTATGTGAGTGAGATAGGAACTATACATTTATTTGCAATGAGAATAGTGAAATTTCCTACTATTCCAGGTTATTTATCATAAGTATAAGTGATAATTTATCACTGATGCTTAAATAAACGATTTTATTTTTTAGGAATGTATAGACTTATGATTTCAAACATAAGCTTGCTTAAGTCCAAACTGCTGGTTTTTATACAAGATAGAGGTAAGCTAGATGCAAGTCAGGTGACAGCACACACTGCCCAATTATTCAGTAGCACTATTTCTTGCTTGAAATAGTGTCAACTACTACTAATACTACAGCTATCCATGTGCATGTGCCAGAATAAGGGTGTGGTCCTCCAGAGAAAGAAAGAAGAAAAAAAAAAAAGGAAGTTCCTCCAGTACATCAGAACATCTGAAATAAGCATAAAAAATAAATAATGTATTTGTTTGTTATTGTCTAGGAAACCTTTATCTAATTAATGCAACTTCAACAAATAAACTAATAGTACATAAATGGTTCTTTCTGCAAGTGGCTTCAAAGCCTTTCCTGTATTCCACCAACCAAGAATTAGCAGCATAATAAAGTGACATGAGGCTCATTATGTGCTTTGAAATTCTTCAGGGAAATATGGGGTAGAGTCTGTATCCTTCCAAACCCTCAAAGCCTTGTGTGCATCTAGGAACAGTTTGACAAGGCAGCACACCCATATTACACGTGGTTTTGAAAGCTGGACTTCAGTCTCCCCATCTTAGTTAAACACAGAAGCTTCAGCTCAAAGATTGAGGGGCTGGGCTYCCYCAGCCACCCAGGGACTCCTGCACTGACGCTGCTGATGCCAAAGATATCTCGTGGATGATTAATCTGCACTATTTCTTAAAAATAACAGGGTTACATAGCAGTCATTTAAATAGTTCAGGTTACTGTTGAGGCTTTTTCAAAAGCGTTGGAAGTACTGCTACTTAGCCATTGTTTCCCGAAGGTATTGTTTTACCAAAAACCCAACAGCACATCTTAGTTGTAGCACTAGAGCCTGCTGCAAACAAAGCATGATCGAAATGGTCCACTGACTGCATTCCTTCCCTCAGCAGCTAAGAAAGTTATCTGAATTTAGCAATCAAATGCTTAAAACAAAATAAAATAAAGAAGTTTTGTTCTCATGCTACTGTTAGAACCTCTGGAACAACTGTATACAAATAATTTGCATTGTTCTGGAAACAGTTTGCAAAGAGACACGTTCATAGCCACAGACASACACATAACTTGTTAACAAGCACAGTGGAGTGTGTAAATCTTGGTTTCCACGCAAATGCATGGATGCACAGGCATGTGCAACACATCTCCAAGATCATGCCAACTTTAGGAGGGTCTGAACAAGAGTGAACTGAAAAAGGGCTCTATCATTAAATTTAGCAGCTTCTGAGCTGTGTGCACCTGTATACTGCAAACACACAATGTGAGTCTACAGCTCTTAGATTAAACCTAAACTCTGATGATAAATACAGGTTGCTGAATCTAATGCTAAATACAGGTTTCTGAAGTATTGCCTTCCTTCCGGTGTCGAGAGTTGGGGACGCACCCACACAAAACAAAACTATTTATGCCGCACACTCTTAARAGTTTGCCCTCTCCTCCTCCCAATACACAGACAAAGAAGGAACATCCCTGTACAGCTGCCAACAAAACTCAGCGCACAGACTGAGCGCTCCCCGGGCAGACGCTGGATCTTTTCAAACACTTCGAACGGAGCCGGAGCGCGCCGGCAACCAAGGAGCTCTGCCAAGACGGGGCAGGACAGGACCTGAGGCTGCCGCAGGAGCCCGCAGGAGCCCTCAGCCCCGCAGTCCGAGCTGCCGCCGGCTCGGCGGGGTGCACAGCCCCATATTCCGGCAGCAGCCCCGTGTTCCCGCAGCATCTCCGCGTTTCCCGCACGCAGCATCCCCGCATCCCCGCTCGGTGCCGGGGCAGGTGCGCCCGGGAGGCGCTCCCAGCGCTCGCCGCCGATGCGCGGATGGTTCGGCGAGCGGGCTCGGTCCCGAAGCCGCCCCGTCCCTCTCCCGGGAGCGCCGCATCCCGCACCGGCCCCGCAGAGCGCACTCACCGCTGAGGACGCGCCCGGCGAGCGCCCCGGGCCCGCACAGCACCGCRGCCGCCAGCACGGCCGCCAGCCCCAGCCCTCCTCCGGTCCCCATGGCGCTGCCCCGCTGCCGGCTGGCTCCGAGAAACACTCAGGGCAGGGCGATGCCGACCGCAGAGCGAAGAACACACACCCAACTCCGCAGCTGCCCACCGCCACCTCCTCTTCGCCCGCCGCCTGTCTTTATCTGCTCCCCTCGCCGAGGGACCGCCCCCGCACCGCCCCAGCCCCTGCCCC